AACGAAAGCTCGTTTCTGATACATGAGATCGAATTTGTGGTCAAGTCTCGACCAAGCCACAGCAATGGCGATGGTAATTATTAAGTATCTATGAATAATCGTGGGTGTAATTCAAGACCAGCTTACCAGTGCACGAAAGCTCGTTTCTGATACATATGAGATCGAATTTGCGGTCAAGTCTCGACCAAGCCTCAGCAATGGTGATGGTAATTATTTAGTATCTATGAAGAATCGGTGTAATTCAAGACCAGCTTACCAGTGAACGAAAGCTCGTTTCTGATACATGAGATCGAATTTGCGGTCAAGTCTCGACCAAGCCTCAGCAATGGCGATGGTAATTATTTAGTATCTATGAAGAATCGGTGTAATTCAAGACCAGCTTACCAGTGCACGAAAGCTCGTTTCTGATACATGAGATCGAATTTGCGGTCAAGTCTCGACCAAGCCTCAGCAATGGCGATGGTAATTATTCAGTACCAACAGAGAACCGTGGGTGTAATTATAGACAAACGTACCAGTGAACGAAAGCTCGTTTCTGATACATGAGATCGAACTTGCGGTCAAGTCTCGACCAAGCCTCAGCGATCGCGGTGGTGTTGCTCAACATGCACACTGCGCGAGACACCTTCGCTAGGTCGCCTTCCGGCACAACCGTGGGTGGCTGATAGTTGATACCGATCTATAGGATCAAAGATAATGTCATAGTTTCATGTTGCATAATAATTATCAATTGGCAGTTATTTCAATAGATAAGTGAAAATGAGTGCACGAAAGCCATGTAATATCACCGTTCACATGCAATGCGTTGAAAAATATGACGATTCACAAAATAGATGTGATTTGCAGGTTTGATATTGTCTTTCTACTAGGCGAAACGATTCCTACAACAAAGATTTGATCAAAAAGGCCAGTATAGTCAAGTAAAATACAAGAGTCGGCGACAGGCCTATGATCCAGGCCTATTCTTCAATGCCGAAGTTACTATACTATACTACAATACTAAGCGTGTATATATTGATGGCTATATGTATTGCTAGTGCTGCAACAACAATAATTTTACGAAAGCATCAACAACAACTTCGTTCTGTCACCTTGAAGCCAGTAGGGCACCAGTCCACAAACTGTATGTTGCGTTTTGTTTTGATGGTAGCGATGGCAGACTGCACTTGCTTGGGAACGACATCTCCGCGGTACAACAGGCAACATGCCATGTACTTTCCGTTGCGGGGATCGCATTTCACTAACTGAAATAAAATCAATAATTGGATCATTCAACAAAAAATCAAAGAATTAGCATTGAAAAAATATAACTCATTACTCACTGCAGTGAGTGATAGAGAGCGCATTTTCTCGTCGACGAAAACATTAAGTCACGGACGGACAGACAGACGGACGGACAGACGGACATGGCGAGCACAATAGTGCATTTTTTAATAAATAAGAAAATACGCTAAAAAGATATGGAAGAATGATGAATCGAACAATGAAGCAATAAGAAATTAATTGATGTTAGTCTCTGGGAAATAAAAATTAATTGATGTTAGTCTCATCTCGCAATAAAAGGAACTGAACTTTAGAAGCCTGAATCCAAGTTCATGTCATCGAGAACTTAACTTAAAGTTAAAAATGCATTAATTATGTATCTATGATCTTAGACAATTTTTTAAAGTGTGAACATCTGCAGTTTATTACTGTTCGAAGTACAGATCACGTGTTCTCCCATTCAAACTCATTGCCGCTATTTTCAATCGTGTGTTTATGTGTAACTTTTTTCCTCTTCGATTGCAACACTTTTTAAATAATTTTTTGCTCTGCTAACCTGGTTCTCAGGTTGGAACGAGGCTGTCGTGATCTCAGCCACGGACATTTGTTCATGGTAAGCCTTCTCCCTGGAGATAACTGGAGCATAGGTCACCAAGGGGAAGTGGATGCGAGGATACGGGACCAGGTTCGTCTGGAACTCCGTCAGATCAACGTTCAGGGCGCCATCGAACCTGAGAATTATTTGGTAATTATCAATTATTGATAATCAATCGCACGTTCTTCTGAAACTCCGTCAGGTCAACATTCAGAGCGCCATCGAACCTGTGAATTATTTGGTAATTATCNGTTATAAACTGCAACCTATGAAGAGACTTGAACTGTAACGTATGCAATACGCTAAGAATAGAGACGTATATCAATTTGAATGGAGAAGTAAGTGAACAAAATTAGGAAGAGCGTAATGTTCCGAAGATAAAATCGAGCACTATGTGTAAAATTTACAACGGAGTGATTAGTAACTACTTAGAAATAGAGAACACGTTGAGCCAGTTAAAAGAGTCGCAACGTAAATAGCAATACATTAGCTGTATATTTGACGCAATTTCGACGGGTAAAAAATGTGAACATTTAGATGAACAGTTAAGTTGCAAAATGGACAAAATAGTGACGGCATTACCTGTGTGAATAAATAAATGAATCAAAATCAAATCAAATTCGGACCGTTAAAGAGCTAACTCTCCAGAAAATTCTGAAGAGGTTTGAAATAAAACTTTAAAAAATAATATAATAACCTCAAAATTCGTATTTTTGATCTGATAATGGTTCAGTAAAGGATTAAGAGGATTAGAATACAAACCCGCACGATAACGAGTTCAAAAACAAAGCTAAATTTTAGCAATAAAATTTCTTAAATGCCTTTGCGGAGGACTAGAGTTTATACGTAAGTTTCCAGACAGTCGGTTAACACGCTGTTTCCAATTGCTTCATCTTGTACTATTATTTTATCTTTTTCTACTATTATGAAACAGGGATGCCATACGCTTTTTTTTCAGACAAATTTCGCGGTTTAGTTTTTTCAATTGCTATGACCGGCTAAAATTTACTTTTCCTAATTAAATTTTAAAACTACAAAAAAAAGTAATGGCATTTTGCACCAGAACCTACACATATACTAGTATACATTGAGTTAAATTATATGTTCAGTATTAAATTGCCTAGCACCTTACGGGCCAGGCAATAAGTCCAGCAGCTATACCAATCAATCGTCAGCTATGGAAAGATCGGGTTCCAAAGGCCGGATCTCTTGTGAATCAAGTCACGAAAAGTTCAAGAATCGGCAACAGGCCATGGGCCTATTTCTTCGATGCCGACACTTCTATTCTACGTGGCGTTTTTGTTCGCGGACTTTGCCATTTTTAGGCCATCTGACAACCCTGAATTATGTACCACTTCGAAATCAACGTGTTAATGGGATCAATTCCTCCCTAATCCCCAACCTTGCGTAACAACACGCCGTACGCAACGTACACACACGAGTACACTTCAGAAAAATATAACTCAGTACGGTACTCACAGCAGTGAGTGACAGAGAGCGCATTTTCTCGTCGACGAAAACTTGAGGTCACGGACAGACAGACAGACGGAGGGACAGACAGACGGACATGGCGAGCACAATAGTGCATTTTTTCCATAAATGAGAAAATGCGCTAAAAATGTATGGATCATATTGTTTAAATAGTGACACTGTGACACACATTCTGCATGTGGTACTGATACCCCCTTTGGCCGGGCCAAACTGGATCAGAAAGGCACAATCATGGTAAAAAAATGAATCGGTATTTGGTGAAAATCTTGCTCATTTCTTAATGTAACGAGAACAATAAACCAATGTACGAAACTCAGCCAAGTCAAGACGTATCCAATTTATCAAATTGGAATCGTTCATATATTAGAACTGAGTGTCCATTTGGAGAAAAATAGACAGTGTGCTTGAAGGACTCAAAAAATTTTAATTTTAATATTAAAAAAAATGTTCGTTCATACACTTCATTTTAGTTCAGTGATCTCTATAGTGAACGAGTACATAAATTCACACACGTCGGTTTCTCAAAAGAAGCTTGATATAATATAATAGAAGCTTGATATAATATAATAGAAGCTTGAATAGTGTTATTGCTTATCATCATAAGCACTTAACAGACGCTGATAAAAGATAGAGCACGTGATGCAGAGTTGAAGTCGATCCTGCCATCCAATAGCCATAAAATTTACGTATCAGCAACAACTCGTACAGGTACTTCAGTTTCGAAC